CAGGTTTGGAGAAGCAGGTTTTAAAGATTATCTACCCCACCACCGTGGAAGTGCCTCCCCTCATTTGTTATGAATCTCCGCTTGATGTCCACCAGCTGTGTGAATTGGGGCGCGTTAGGTAACCTTGCTGGTACATTTATGTGAGCAATAATTGAGATGCTGCAGATAACATCATAATGTACATAACAGCGCCATTTTAAAAAACAAATTTTCAACAAATGTGAACGTGTTTGATGAACACTGTTATTTTCCCTCACAAAGCTGCCCCTCCCTTCTTAGATGTGGCTTCAGGATGGAATTTCCACCAACTGAATCCAGGGGAGGCAACATAAGAAACTTCTGAGTCACCTGCTGCAATGACAAATCCCTGTATTCATCTCTCGGCTTGCCTTCCTATTAGTTGCAAACAGCACTAAGTTGTCTCAGCCTCCCGTAGCTGGGAGTACAGGCATTTGCCACTGTGCCTGGCAGTACGCTCTCTTTTTTTGAGGACAATTCTGTTTACTCTGTTTGGAACACTCTGGTCTGTTGCAGGCAGGAAAGACATTCAGCTTCTGAAGGAAAACAGTTCAGCCTTTTAATTCTGACTAATCCTTGCAGAAAACAGTTCACTAGATTTGACTTCATTGGAATAAAGGTTTGAGTTACCTACAAAAATGTGACTTGTATTACAAAATGTATTTTTATGCAGTGGGATTTCTCCCTTCTCCCAGTTTCCAGACTTTCCAGAGGAATGTAACTTGATAAAGTTGACTTTTGCTATTACAGTAAAATACACATAATATGAAACTGATCATTTGACAATTTTTAACACAGTTCAGTGGCACTGAACACATTCACAGGAGTGTGCAAGCCTTACCATCATCCATCTGCAGAAATTTTTCATCTTCTCAAAGTAATTCTCAATCCCTACTAAAAATTAACTCTTCCTTCTCTTCTCTCCCAGACCACAGACACAACTATTTTATGAACCTGACTACTCTAGGTCCTTCATAGAAGTAAAATCATGCAATACATCTTTTTGTGAGTGGCTTATTTCACTTGGCATTTTATCTTCAAAGTTTACCCACCTTTCAAGGATGAATAATGTATACTAGATTTTTTTTTTTTTTTGAGACAGGGTCTCCCTATGTAGTGCAGGTTGACCTTGAACTCACTTAGGTAGCCCAGGCTAGTCTCAAACTCACAGTGATCTTCCTACCTCAGCCTCCTGAGTGCTGGGATTACAGGAGGGCACCACCACGTCTGACTGAAACTAGAATTTTTTTAAGGCCTGGTGTATATGATCTTCAAATCTACTTCAATCAGTTTTCATCTTATGCTTTGTCTTCCTTTCTCTCATACATCCGGTCCTACCTCATGAACAGACTTTCTGTTATTGCATATGATGTGCTTTTTGCGGTTTTATATCTCTTCCTAGAATGTCTCTCTTCTCATCTTCTCTGCTTGTAAACACCTTGTCCCAGCAGAACCTGCTCAAATGTTACTTCTTCTGTATTACTGTCTTCATCTGTGTCAGGTATATTTACTCATTTTCTCTTTTTTCCATGTCACTTAAAAAAATAATGTAAATTTTAGTTGAGCTCTGGGCATGGTGGCACACCCCTGTAATCCCAGCACTCAGGAGGCTGAGGCAGGAGGACTGCTGTGAGTTCGAGGCCAGCCTGGGCTATGTAGTGAGTTCAGGGCCAGCTTGAACTACATAGCAAGACCCTGTCTCAAAACAAAACAAAACAAACAAAACTTTAGTTAAAATACAACATACTCAAAAAGTATACAGCCCTTATACAGTTCAATACAATTTCACAAAATAAACACATATCATATGCACCTAATTAAAAGAAGATCACCAGAACCCTAGAAGGCATTTTTCACAATTTCAGACATTGTACATCCCGCCTCAATTCTAACATAACGTTGGTTTTGCCTATTTTTGTGCTTTACATGAAAGGAATGATACAGTGTATTCTATTTTCAATCTTAGTTCTTTCTCTCCACATTACGTGTGAGACAATTCACTGCACAGTTGCAGTTCATCTGTTCTCACTGTCTCATTGGCATGTGTCCTTCAGCAGCTCATATTTATCTATTTTACTGCTGATAGCCACTGAGTTGTTTCAGGATGTGGGCTTTTAGCAAATGATGCCATTATGGACATCTTTACACGTCTTTTTTCAGGGGGAATCAAACTCAGGACCTTGTGCTTGCCAGGCAGGCACTGTGCCACTGAGCTAAATTCCCAGCCTGTTTTTTTTTTTTTTTTTTTGTATGTGTGTGTACATAATATAGTATTTTTTATATCTTCAATGTTTGCACTGTATTTTAATTATTATTTTACATGTCTGCGTCCCGAGATTGTGAGTTTCTTAAGTGTCAAGTACATCACTTGGGACAGAGTAGTTTAGATGTATAGGTAGACACCACTCTGCCCTGCTAAATTTAGAAAATTTTTGTAAAGGAAGGCATAGCTGAAGGAATCTTTTTAAAAAGTTATTTTGGGCAACCCATTCATTCGAGATCCTTCCTGCCTGTCAGGAGCCATTCTTATTCCCCATTCTCCATTCCTATTCTCCAATAAATTTTCCTATTTAACTTCCGAAAAAAAAAGTTATATTAAGGTGGGCCCGTGGCACAGGCCTGTCATCTAAGCATCTGGGAAGCTGAAGCAAAAGGGTCATTAAGTTTGACCTCAGCCCAAGCAACTTCACAAAACCTTATCTCAAAATTAAAAAAAAAAAAAGGGCTGGGGATGTAGCTCAGAGTGAAGGCCCTTGGTTCAATGCCCAGGACTACAAAAGAAAATTGTTGTTTCCCTTTACATTTCTTAAAATTCATAAATAGCTTTTCTTATGGTCACATGTAAAAAGCAGATCCATTTTAAAAACTAAAATATCTCTAGAACATGATCAAGAATGCTTCAAATTAGGTATTGTGGTGGATTGATAACTGGTGGTCAGTTCGTAACACCCAGCTGAATTGAACCAGTGTGGTGCTGGGTGTGGAAGGCCCGACTGAGGATTATTGCCAGCAGCATAAAAGGCAGAACTGCAGAAGAAGAGAGGCTGTTGGGAGCTGGTGGAAGCTATTTGAGAAGCTGTTGGGTGCTGTTAGAAGCTGTAAGGAGCTGTTGGTTCTCTTGGAGGGGCTTGTCATGCTGGCTTTCCTGATGAACTCTGCTGTTCTCATCATCTCATCTCAGGACCTTGTTGACACTGAGAAAAGTTTCGGTTCACTTTAGGGGAGCTCTGGCCCTCACTCTGAGCGTCCCTTCCTGGCTCTGGAGGGGAAGATGGTACACAGCTGTCTCCTGAAGAAGCTTGTCACACTGGCTTTCCTGATGGGAACTCAGCTGTCCTCATTGTCTGAGGAGCTTGGGACCTCACTGTTGCTGAGGATGGCTCCGGTACTTTTCAGGGGAGCTCTGGTCCTTACTTTTAGCATTGCTTCCTGGCTCCAGTGCAGAACCTTCATCCTGCTAGCACAGACTTTCTAGCTTCCACCACTGAACTTTGGGCCTCCCCAGCCAGATCCATGAAACAGGCCTGCATGAGACATTGTCGTGGGTGTTTGACCTCCAGTTGGACTTGTAGGAGGTATTGTTACTGGCTCTAGGTCTTCAGCTGGACTCACACAGGACATTATCATAGGATTCAGGCCCTCATCTGGATTCTTTGGTCTTTAGCGTGTGGACAGATTTCCTGCACTCTTTTTGTATGTGATTCTTTGAGTGACTATTATAATCTTATAAAATATGTGTCCTGTATTATATTATTCCCCTTGCAAAACCCCAAGCTACAACAGGTATCATACTGAAAATACTGAAAGGCATTAATTAGTTGTCTCATGAGATACTATATTTTAGGAAGAATTATAGTTTCATATAGTTAAAAGGAACCTTGAGAACTAATTTCTAGTATCACTTTCATTAATATATTCCAGCAGGAATTAGCACATGTAAGCCAGCACAGCTATTTAAGAAAGTTTTTGTTTTTTGAGTCAGGTCTTGGTATATAATACTCCACCTCTGTAGCTAGGACTACTGGCATACTTGTACATACTTATGTGGTTTTTAGGTGTATGTATACATCGTGTAATGTTTAAACCAGGTTAAACATACCTATCTCCCCAAACATATTTATGTGAAAATACTCAAACCTATTTTGTCTGGGTTTTTGAAATGTACAGTATATTCTCGTTATTTCCAGTCATCCAATATCACACCAGAACTTCTCACTTCTAACTATGACTTACCGTAGCACCCACTGATCAAACTTGCCCCACCCTCTTCTCCAGGACTCTGTTTTACTTTCACAGGATCTGGTAGTCACCCCCCATTTTTTTTTTTTTTTTTCTGGTACCAGGAACCGAACTCATGACCTTGTGCTTGCCAGGCAGGTGCGGTGCCGCTGAGCTAAATCCCCAGCCCCAAGCCACCCTAATTTCTGAGACTAACTTTTTTTATGTTCTTCATAGAGTGAGGTCCAGTAGCCTTGTCTTTCTGTGCCTGGCTAATTTTAATGAACATAATGCCCTCCAGTTCCATCCATGCCACAAACGACAGAACTTCATTTTTTTTTTTTTTTTTTGTAACTAGCCTTGTCTTTCTGTGCCTGGCTAATTTTAATGAACATAATGCCCTCCAGTTCCATCCATGCCACAAACGACAGAACTTTTTTTTTTTTTTTTGTAACTAACTACTATTCCATGGTGAATATGTACACATTTCATCTCTTCATCAGTTAGGTTGTTTTTACTTCTTGGTAAACAAGAACTGGTTTATGAATAACTTTACATGAATAATGTTAATTTCCTTCATCCTTATATTCTTTTTCCTATAATCGGAAATTCATTATACTACCAAATGCAAATTCAATGCAGTGTCTGGCAGAAAATGCATTCATCATTACCTAAAGACCAACATAACTAGTAATAAAGTTTATTACAAAATCCTAATCGACAGTGTCACAATGAAGTCTTAAATTAGAAATAAACACCCAACATCTTTTCCTTAGTATGCAAGGCTGAGTAGGTTTGTACTGTGATGCATGTAGTGAAGAATAATAAAGAGATGAATATAGCTTTATTTCCCCGTTTTTATTAGTGCATGTTTGCAACATGTATTAAACACAGTCTTCCAAGTTTAGGTAAACTAGAAAAGTTGTCTTCCTTCGGTATGCTGGCAAAAGTCCAAGGCTGAAAAGCCGCAGGTTTTGAATTGAGTCTTGGCTCTGCTACTTATGAAACTGTGGGACCTAAGGCAAATTGGTTAATATGTGTGTAAATTTCCTCATTCGTAAACACCTTGCAGCGTTTTGCTGTTATTATTTCTTTTTACAGGGTTTCACTATTCAGTTCAGGCTGGCCTTGAGCTCACAGCGATCCTCCCGCCTCAGCCTGCAAAGTGCTGGGATTACAGGTGTGCGCCATCTCGCCCGGCCCCTCGCAGCGTTTGGAATACGGTTCGCAATTAGCAGACAATGTGCTTGGTGGTCTAGTGGTTGGGATTCAGTGCTCTCGCAATAGCAGACAATGATCGGCAGTCTATTATCCGAACCGCACTCTTCTCATTCACACCGACGACCTCAAGAAGGCACAAGAGGAAGAAAGGAGATTCCGTTCCCCCACTACAGTCCAGCACAGTCTAGCGCTCGGAGAGGTTCCAAGCGCGAGGCTGACGTGAGGCTCACCTTCATGGGCTTCCCGGAGCACGGGCGACCCGGCGAGGAGGAGGGATTTCCGCCACACGCCGGCCTGGGCCGGAAGCAAGCGGACCCGAGCAGGTTCCCCCGTGGCCGGGAGGAGCGACCGGAAACGCCGCGCAGTGGGACTACGTTTCCCAGAAGCCCACGCGGCAGGGCGCGGGGCGGTGCCGCGGACCGTACTGGACAGGCCTGGTCCCGCCGTACCAAGGTAAAAGCGGGCACCTCGGCTCCGAGGGAAGAGCCGCTGGCGGCCTGCGCTAGATTTGTGCTTTAACCCTCCTGACATCCTGAACTGATAAAAACGACGCTCCCGCTGGGCGTCTTAGAGTTCCTAGCCTTAGGACCGCACCCCATAGCCCGCGCTCCCCCAAACGCCCGGGGTCGCGGAGTTTGTGCCGGAGGCGCCCGGCGCC